AAGTATTACAAAGGGTATTACATAAGTGTCCTTTTTTCCCCCCCACCCTTGACAAGCCCCTGCCCTCCCTTACCCCCCAGTGTCTTATGTCCATTAGTTATGGTTATATGGATGCATACAAGTCCTTCGGTTGATATATTTTGGATTATTTATGTAAGGAGATGGCTTGCTTTCTTTTTCAATGCCCAGCAACATCCCAGGAGTTTCCTGGAGAGAACAGAAGAGTTTGCAGAAAACGTCCCCCGGCAGGGAAAGCGCTTGCACTGCCCCAGTTTTCAGAGTGACGCTTTTTATAGTCACAGTCTCAGAGCACATTGTACCTCCAGGGAGGCTGGAGGGAACAAGCAGGCAGTCTGGCTTTTCAGCTCCCTTCTGCACCTTCTCCTGGCCTGGGAAGGAGGCAGAGCTGTGCGATCCTGCCCACCACGTGGTCTCCTCTGCTTTTCCTGACACTTATCTTCCATCCAGACTGACTTGGCAAGGGCCAGGGCATCCTCTACCTTGTCAAAGGTGTGAGGCTGGGCTAGCAAACTCCACCACTTAATAGCTATGTGCCTTGGACTGGTCACTGAACTTCCCTTTGCCTCAGTTTTTCCACCTATAAAATGGGGGTAATAATCACAGCACAAACTTCATTTCATTGTTGAGAGAAAATGATATAATGTTGATGTAATAACAGTAAGTGCTGCTGACAGCATCCATGACCATGATGAGTTGGATGATTTCATCTCTGAAAATCAGTGGTTAAGTAACTTACTCAGGGTTTCACAGCTAATAAGAGCTCGAGGCAGATTTGAATCATGATACTATATTGATTTAGCAAATCCTGGGCTGGGACTAAAATGAAGTGACTTAAGCATTCATCTAGGATGCAAAATTTAAAGTAGGACCAAAAAATATCAACAATCAAGGTAAATAATATTATAATGCAATATTTTAAAAAATAAAAATTAATGCAAAAAAATCCATGATGAACAAATGATCAACATTGTCAAAACAGTATTGGTATTACTGGTTTGTTTTCTTTTGCCTCTGATGTCATATGACTCAGTGCTGTGCTGAGCAAGTCTCTTTTTGTTGGACAATTGGGTTCTGAATAATTTTTACAAATCTATAATAATAAAAGTGTAATATGCTAATTAGACCGGACATCCTTACAGATGTCCTTCCTGACGACCTTCCAAACGAAGCTGTGGTGGCGGCTGGGGCCAAGGCAGAGGTGGCCTCCATGGTGGCGGGGGCCAAGCCCTTGCGTGAATTTCATGCATCAGGCCTCGTGTGTGTGTGTGTGTGTGTGTGTGTGTGAGAGAGAGAGAGAGAGAGAGAGAGAGAGAGAGAGAGAGATCCTTGAACCAAAATGTTTGTATAGATCATTCTCATTTCTAAAGGCAGATTACAGGATGTGGAATTCATGAACTTCAGGGTTAAAAAGCAGGCACGTCCTCCCACCCCCAGCCTTTTGGTATGAAATTTTTCCAAATATAGGAAGACTGTAGGGCACACACATATACCCACCAGCTAGATTCTATAATTGCTAACATTTTTTATATTTGCTTTATAAAAATCTAGCCATTCCTCCATTCCTTAGTATATCTTCTTTTTTTCTGCATGTCAAAGTAAGTTATAGACATTGTGAGTACATTTCAGCCTGTATGCCATTACAGGCCATTATTTTTACGACTTTTGATCTGCAGTGTTAGATTCCTATCAGGAATATATACTGATTTCCATCTCCGTCTGATGTGGACATATATGTCTCTTCCACCACAGCCTGGCCAACACTGGGTGTTACCATTTTAGAGGTATTTTACTTACTGCTTTGATTTAATGTTTTTCTTCCCAAAGCTTCCCGGTAGATTACCCACCTCTGTGTCCTGATGATCTGCTCAGAGCTCTGATCCTTTCCAGGCTTCAGTGATTTCTGGGGTGGGAAGGACTCAGTGCTTCTCGTGTCTGCTTCTGGCTGGAAGTTCCTGTCCCCAGGGGGAGGGAGCAGGGACGCGAGGTGGCCTGCCTGCTGCAGGAGGCTGTGCACATTCTGTGTGAGGAAAATGAATACACCTTGGGGTCCAGGAGGCCCGGGACCCTGAAGGCTCTACAGGTGGCGGGTGGGGCCCCGCGAGTTTCCGTCTGCCTTATGGGTGATGCTTCCTAACAGTAGGACCCGCTGCTGCTGGGAGAGCCCCTTGTTGCCCTCCCCTTCTCCCCGTTCTGCTCCAGCCCTTGGATCCTGATGGGCCAGGCACTGTCCTCTGGGCATTTGCATCTCTTGTGGGTCAGGAGCTTGGGAGCGGCTTGGCTGGGTGGCTTCGGCTTAGGGTCTCTCATGAGGTTGCATTCAAGGTGTCATCAGGGCAGTGGTCATCTGAAGGTTTGACCTGGGATGCAGGGTCTCCTTCCACAGGGGCCCACTCACACGGCCGCAGGGTGGTGCTCTCTGTTCACTGGCCCCTCCGATTCTCTCCATGTGGCTTGTCCATGGGGCTGTTTAGCATCCTCACAACATGGTGACTGGCTGCCACCAGTGTGATCTCAGAGAGCCAAGTGGAAGCTGTGACGCCTTTTATGACGTAGCCGTAGAAGTCACACACTGTCACTTCTGCCTTCTTTGGAGAACCTAGACCAGTGGTCGGCAAACTCATTAGTCAACAGAGCCAAATATCAACAGTACAACGATTGAAATTTCTTTTGAGAGCCAAATTTTTTAAACTTAAACTATATAGGTAGGTACACTGTTATTAACTTAATTAGGGTACTCCTAAGGCTTAGGAAGAGCCACACTCAAGGGGCCAAAAAGCCGCATGTGGCTCGCGAGCCGCAGTTTGCCGACCACGGACCTAGACTAACCCTGTGGTCGTAGGGGACCACACCGGGTGTGAAGAACGGGGCATGGATCACTAGGTACCGTCTTGGAGGCTGCCTGCCACATTGTGTGACCAGCAGATAACTTCTGGGTCTCAGTCTCTCCCTCTGTCAACTGGACTCCTGGGAGGACTCATGAGTTAATTCCTGGGGGCACTTGGAATGGCATCGGGGACTCAGGCTCCAGTAAATATTGGCACCGCTGTAATGTCCTGCTGGCCTGGAGCCCTCAGCAGCAGGGACCGTTCTCAGTCTCTGCACCAGTGCCTGGCGAGGAGCAGGCACCTCTAGTGTTTACGTGAACGAGTGAGAGAATGAATGAGTGAATGAACAGCATACGGACTAGGAGTCTAGAGAAGGAAGAGATCTGTGCGGTCGGGAAAAACTCTCAAGCGAGGCCCTTCCATCAGTGACTGGGGAGCAAACATTTGTTCGAGACCAACGTGACGGGCTGGGGAGCGCTCGGGATCAGTCAGACTGACCAGAGTTTCTGTGTGGGACCTGGCGTTCGAACAGTAAATATGTACTGAGCTCCAGCTCTGGTCCAGTGCCCTCTTGGACCTTGAAACAGTGGGGAGGGAACCGCCTCTGTCCATGCCCTGGTGGTACCCTTGCTGTGTGGCCTCGGGCAAGTGAATCTATGTCTCTGAGCCTGCATTTCTTCATCTGTACTATGGGGGTCGCGGGAGAAAGCAACAAGTGTGCCTCCCTTCCGGGATCCGGCTGCTGCTGCCCCTCCCGACCACCTTCTCTGGTCTCAGAATGTTGCTGTCTTGTCTCCCCACACTCACCCCACCCCCCATTCCAGCTACTCCAGCTCCATAAGGGTTAACATCCAGGCGCTCATGTGACCCAGTGTAAACCAGGAATCATTCCCATTGCTCCTGTGCTGAGAGCCTGCCCGCCCAGGGTGGGGCAGATGCTGTGCCCCCGGGTTGCCATGGCAACTCTGCCTGTACTGAAATACAGCCCAGCCCAGTTCCTTCCTTGGGGGACCTCCAGGGCTGTTTCACCTGGCTCTGTGCTGCCTTCCAGAGAGGCGGGGGTGGGGGGGGGCGGGAGAGAGAGAGAGAGAGAGAGAGAGAGAGAGAGAGAGAGAGAGAGAGAGGTGGAAATTTGAGACTCGGAGAGGCAGGAGAGAGCCTGATAGAGAAACAACAGACCACCAGAGGGAGACAGACTGACAGCAGCCAGAGGTCCTGAGAAGCCAGCCTGTCACCCTGGAGGCAGTTTCTCAACTGTTCCAACCTTCCGGGGGCTGCCGGGTCTCCACATCCGTGTGCACACGTGCTAGTGTGCCCCGCGGGCGGCCAAAGCTCCCCCTGCACCTGCAGTGAGGGCACTGGGCGGGTAGCAGCCTGGCGGGTAAAGCCACTGTCAACCCCACAGGACGGGGAGCGAGTTGAGACTTGGAGAAAAAAATGGGGGCGGACGTCAGCTCCCTGGGCGTCCGCCTCCCTGAGGCCCCTCCTGCATTCCTGGGCAGCGAAGCCCCTCGCCGAGACAGGCACTGATGTCATCCGGGGCTGCTTGGCCAGGGGACCCGGGGCCCTGGTGGCTGCTTCCGGAAATGAGCTAGCTGCCGGCCGACAGGTTTGGAGTCTCTGGCCAGAGGACAGGAAACCTGCATGGGTCAGGTGAGCGGGGCCCGGCTCTGGGCAGCTGGGCAGGGGGCAGCGGCGGGCTGCAGCCTGCCCACCGGATCCTTCCCGCGTGCTCCTGGGAGGGGCTGCCTCCCTGGGGGAAAGTGAGGACCAGGTGCCCAGGGCGACTCTTCCTCCCCCACCTCGAGGGACCGTCACACCCGGGAGCCAGTGCCGCCGGCTCCCTCAGGCTCCTGGTCACAGCCGGCTCAGTGGGGTGATCGCCAGGGACTGGCTGTTGGACCTCCCAGCGTGTTGGCTTTGCATCCCTGTGGGTGGACTCCCAGCCTGACCCTGAACTCTGTCCTGATTCTGAGCGGGACCCTCGGACGCAGCCGGCTGCCAGCTCAGCGATGTGGATTCACTCTCGGTTCAGCTGAAGAGGGCTGCTGGCTTTCTCTGCACGCAAGTCCCGCACTTCCAGGAGCTGCGAGTGGGAAGAGGGCGAGGACCTTGGCCTTGTGATTGCTTTCCTCCCTCTCATCGCCCGGCCCCATGGATTACCTGGGAGACAAACTCAGTGTGGCTCAGACCCACATGACCCAGTGGATGGGCACCGTGAGGAGGTCCTTCCAGGATGCCCTCAACTTAGTGACCACCACGGTGAGCCATGAGCGGACGGGCGGGGAGCCCACCAGCCGGACCCCCTTCAAGCGCACCTCCTCCTTCCGCCACCTGGCCTCCCGGAGCCGGGAATCTTTCCGCCGCTTCTCCGCTCGCAGCCAGCAGAGGTTTTCTTCCCTAAGGAAAAGGCACCCGGATTCAGAGCCACCAGATTTTGTAAGCTTATTCTGTTTTTAAAAAAATACTGAAATAGCAGTCAAAACTCCTCCCCTCCCACACTCCCCAGGTGGGGAAGGAGGGGTCCCCAGAGATCCAGCCAGGGAAGTTGCCTCTTCCCGAATAATTGTCCATCAGGCCCCACTGTTTCCTGCTCCCCACGCCTGGGGAAGAGACAGGTGGGGTGATCCTCCTGACGGTGGAGTTACTCTCCCCCCTGAAGTGGTCGGGAAATTGACACTGGGTCCCGCGTCTGTGTGGACGGGCTAGCTTTGCCAGTTGACTTATCTGTAAGTGCCGACACTCCGGCCCCTGAGGGAAATGCTTGTCGCCCCTATTTTTAGGGAGGATTAGCTGGCACCTGCTTCATCTCCTCTCACCCTCCCAGGGTGACTGAGTGTCCATGTCCTATGCATATTGAGTGGTGGCTTTTGTTGTCTTGTCATCGAGCAAAGTCTAGAGGTCACCCCTGATTACCTAAGGAGACCCCAGGTGGTGGGTGGGTTTGCCCACTGGCCCATGAACCCAGAGCTTGATGTGAGTGGGCCAGGCTGGGTCCTGGGGCTCTACCATCTCTCACTCAGACAAGCTTGATGGGGCTTGGAAGACAGGCTGGAATGTCAGCTAATGATTAAAAGCCTGGCCTGCGTCCTGCTAGGGCAGTGGTTCTCAATCTTCTGGCCCTTTAAATACAGTTCCTCATGTTGTGACCCAACCATAAAATTATTTTCGTTGCTACTTCATAACTGTAACGTTGCTACTGTTATGAATCGTAATGTAAATATCTGATATTCAGGATGGTCTTTGGCGACCCCTGTGAAATTGTTGTTTGACCGCCAAAGGGGTCACGACCCACAGGTTGAGAACCGGTGCACTAGGGCATGGTACAGAATCAATCTCAAGGACCTCACTGATGATTTGGAGAGGTGGGCCCAGAGAGGGAGAGGCACCTGCCTGGGGTAGCACAGCGAGGGAGTAGCAAAGCGAGAGGTTCTGATCCCCAACTCAGGGCTCTCTCTAGCCAAGCTCCTGGCATAAGGATTTCTCCAGAACTTCCTGAAAACTTCAGGGCTCCCACTTCAGCAACCAGGACTGAACTCCAAGAGAGGGCCTGGCATTTTCACACCTGTCAGCCCGAGCTGCAGGAGGCTGAAGACGGGCAGAGGGCAAAGCCAGTCCTTCCCTGCGTCTAGCCTTGCGATGAGTCCCAATGGTCATTATGGGACCCGGTGTTTAGGGACCGAGTCCTGGGGTGCAGCAGGTGTCAAGCCGGCCACCTGCACAATTGAGGTCGAAAACGCTCACACCTGCCCTCAAGGTGCAGGACTGACCCGGCATCCCCTTGGCTGGTCCAGAGAGGTGCAGTGACTTTTGGGGGGCCACAAAGCAACCAGAGCAGTCAGGTGCAAACAGGTGTCTTACGAATATGACATGTCTCGTGGGCCTGTGCTCTTTGTGGCCCCGGACAAATCAGTGGGGCCTGAATTTATGAGACAGGTCCCCCAACCCAACCTCCGTAAAGGGGAGAAGGCCCCTTGTTCATTCTTTCTGTCCCTCTGTCTCTGTATCTCTTGTTCTGTCTCTAAGTGCATATCTCTCTGTCTCTCTTTCACTCCCGATCCCTCTCTGGCAATACGGTTAAGGGTGTGGGGCTCGGTAACATTCAGCTCTCCCACCCTGGGAGCCATGGAACCCTGGGCCTGGTGTAACATGTGGGTACCACTACATGAATGAACGAATGAAGTTAGCCTCCTCTGTTCACAGTTCTCACGGTGCCTCCAACAAAGTGAACATGTGCTCAATAAATCTGGGCTTCGGGTTCCTGCCCATTTAGCATCTACTGAGGGGTGGGCACCAGCTGTCATTGGGTTGAGAGCTTGAAACAGATTCCGACACATCCATGCGGAGGGAACTTCAATGGTTCTCAAGCCTGTTTCTTCCTCTGTCAGCAGATGAGGGCAAAGTTGGGATGGGCACCCATGCTCTGTCGCCGAGGGCTCGGGTTCAAATCCTGGCTCTGCCACCTCCCAGCTGTGCTACCTTGGTGGGCTCCTCCCCTCTGTGTGCCTCAGTTTCCTCACCTGTGAAATGGGGATTGTCATCATTTCACATTCACACTTCCCATTGTTATCATTTTAGGGCAGTGATGTAACCATGTGATGCCATGTGGTACGTGTGCCTTAAAAGTCAGCAATGAGGACAACCAAACCTCTCTCCCAAACCACTTTTTTCAAAGATTCCCAGTGAACTGGAAAATACACACACATCCCTTTTACCTGGGGCTTTCACTTAAATATTTGTTTTATGGGAGGAAACTTTTAAAGCCACAGACAATAAGAGTTTTAGAGACAGCAGCAATACCCGTAGGTGGTGTTAAGAGGGGGGCAGGGTTTCAGTCTTTATGACTTGGACTTGTACACGATTTATCTAAATAATCAGTTCAGTTCCAGTCCTGCCTGAGGCTGGTATTTACTCAGAGGCGTGCCCTGAAATGTTTTCCAAAGCCAGCCTTGAACTAATTTGCTAATGGCCTGCCTCTGCCTTAAGAAAGAAAAGGGGGAATGGAGGAAATCAAACTCATTGTCTCAGAGCCACAAAGGCAGGAAGAGGCATGTTGTGTGAAGCCCAGCAGACTAGGTGGACTCCAGTAGAGACCAGAAGAACATTCCAGAACCCAGAAACAATGGCAGTACCACGGAGGCCGAGGCTGGAATAAACGTGGGAAGTGGAGGTTTCCAGGGCCGGTGGGTGTTCTACAAATCGGACAGACTTGGGCTCAAACCTCAGCTCCACTGTATGCTGGCTGAGCGACCCTGGGCAAGTTAAAGCACCCATTTCAGCCTCAGTGTCCTCATCTGTAAGATGGGGATTCTCCTGGTTGGTGGTCCAATGGGTTGGAGAAAGTAAGAACCCACACAGCCCTGGCACCTGTTAAACACCTGACAGACAGGAAGTGCTTCACAAATGTGCATTTCACATCACTTTCAGGGGGTGAAGGGGTTGTTGTCCGTGGATGAGTCCCACCTGCCTAGATGGCCAGACCCGTCTTCCTGCTGACCTGAGTTGGGGGAAGGACAGGGGTCTTACACATTGAGTACCTCCTACTTGCCGGAAACTGGTCTCATTGAATCTGCACAACTGCCCCTGAGGGAAACGGGCTACAGTCCCATATTTAGTGGATGAGAAAGCAGATGCACAGAGAGGTGAAGTCACAGGCCTGGGATCACACAGCTGGGATCGCTGAGGCTGGAGCTCCAGAAATACAGTGTGTGTTGGCCTTGCTGGGCCTACAACCCGCCCTGCGCTGGAGTGTCACAGTTTAAGCATCGGCACCTGTGCTGAGCATTCAGCCTCCGGCGAAGGCTGAGTGGGAGTATTTGGTTCTGCGTCAATTATAGAGTGAAATGGATGCCTAAAATATTCAGCAGGGCTCAGCGTCTCCCCCCTCCCCACCCGCAGACACATTCAGCCCTCTCTTTATTTTAGCGAGTGGGAGAGAATGTGAGTAGAATGGTGTTTGCGACTCTCATCTCCAGTCAGTACCTCCCCTGCGCTGATTTCTGAAGTCTGCCATGACACATTGCCTCAAACTTGGGAGCTGGAGACAACAGGAATTTATCTTGCAAGGTCTCGGAGGCCAGAAGTCTAAAGTGAAGGTGTTGTCAGGCCATGCTGCCTTCCTAGGGCTCTTGGGAGGATCCTTCCAGCCTCTGATGGCTGCACGCATTCCTTGGCTTATGGCCGCCTCCCTCCAGTCTCTGCCTCCGCCTTCATAAAGCTTCTCCTCTGTCTCTTCTAAAGACGCCTGGCAGTGGATTCAGGGCCCAAGAGATACTCCAGCACGATCGCATCTTGAGATCCTTAGCTTAATTACACCTGCAAAGACTTTTTTCCCCAAGTAAAGTCACATTCTTAGGTGCCAGGGTTAGGATATGGACATACCATTTTGGAGGCCTCTATTCAACCTACTCTACCCTCCTTATTCCACTCTGGCTCCCTCCCCTCCAGTCCATTCTCCACCCAGCAACCCAAGGGGGTCAGGTCATTCCCCTGACTCACCCGGGACTTAGAAAGCCCCAGCTCCTTGCTGTGGCCTGCAAGGCCCTATGGGATCTGACCCTGCCTCCCTTTTGACCTCAGCTCTTACTGCTGCCTTCCATGCTCACTCGACTCCTGCCACGCTGACCTCCTGCTCTTCTTCAGTCAACGCATGTTCATTCCAGACCTGGGGCCTTTGCCTACAGTTCCCTCGGCCTAGACTGCTCTTCTCTTCTCTTCACCTGCACAAATGCACAGAGAGGCTGCTGACAGCTGAGGTGGAGGCGATCCCCACCACATTTCTCTCCACCCCACCCCTGCTAATGTCCTCCGGGCACTCGCCTCAGTCTACACTTGCTTCATTTCACGCTTTAATTCTCTGTCTCCTCCACTAGAATGTAAGACCTGCGAGGGCTGGGATTTGGGCAGCCTGGTGTCCCCAGTGCTTGGAATAGTGTTCGGCACTTCTAGGAGCTCACCTAGTATCTGGCTTCCTGAAATTCCCTCTCCTTTATTCTTGTGTCCACTTTGTGCACCATCTCCATATTGTAGATGGGTAAACTGAGGCCCAGAGAATATCAGTGACTTGGCCCTGCGGCACACCTCCTAAGAATTGACACCAAGATTTCTCCCGGAGACCTGGGCTGCAGGGGAGTAGGGCTCAGCGGCCATGACCCCCTCCTCCGTCTCTTGCTGTCTGTGCCAACTGCTGCCCACCCCTGCGTGTCCAGAGCCCTGCCAGGTGCTCCGGCCTCAGGCTGCCCCTCGAGTGTGGCACTGAGGTGCTGGACTAACCGCAGCCCCAAGGCCAGGCTGACACGACAGCGCCTCCGCTCTGGTGAGGATAGGCAGGCAGGAGGGACCGCTTTCTCTTGGGCGGGCCGCACCCAACTGCAGGTCTCCTTTCCACCCTCCAGGCAGCAGGATGAAGTCACCCAGAGAACAATGGCCCCTTCAGGAAC